TTTAAACTCTTAGAATACTGCTTCCAAGATTTTAACTTATATTTTAAATATAGAGCTAAAGATTAAGGAAATATTAATAAAAAAATATTTTTATTATAAAAAGTCTAATTATTAAAGTAGAGAATATTCTAAAAAATAAATTATATAAGTAAAGGCTCTGGAAGCCCTTATAAAAAAATTTAAATTCATAAAAAATAATATCTAAAAAAATCTCTATTTTAGGTAAATTAGAAGCTTGAATAAATATAATAAATTTATAAAATTTATTAAAAAATAATAGTAATAGTTTTATAATTACTACTCTATTTTTTAAAAATAATATTATTATTTTTATTTATATACTTGCTAATTCCAGAATTAATATTTATTTAATTATAAAAATTTAATTTATCATTAAATTAGTTTAATATTCTAAAATTTAATATTATTTTTAAAGAAGGCATTTTTAATTATAAATTTTAATAGAAAATAAAATACTAATTTAATATATATAATCTAATTAAATTTTATAATCAATATTTATTAATTTTTAAATATTTTCTTTCCTATATTAGACTTGAAAAGATATAGTACTATCTTTAAAAAAATATAATTTATTAAATATAATATCTTATTGTTTTATTAGAATCGTTGATTGATCTAGTCAAGCTAATTAATATTAAAGAATAAGATAAAAATTAAATTTTTTATAAATATTCTTTAAATTATATTAAAGTAGCTTCCGGTGAATTGTAAGTATTAATAAAATATAATTTAAAAATATAAAATATAATTAAAAAATAACCAACTACAATTTTTATAATTATAATTAATTTTTTTATTTTAATTAAAGTAGCCTATACAAGACTCTAGTAAAGATAAAATATAATCTAAATAAAAAGAATTATTAATATTGTCTTTTTTTAGAATCCTGAAGTCTAAATTAAAGCTTATTTTAATTAAATTTTTTATAAAGAAATAATTTTTATTAAAGTAGCTGGCTTCTAATAATATTAAAAGAATTTAGAGATAAAGACCTTTATTATCTTATTCAATGTTTTTAAGAAAATTCTTATAGAGAAACTAGAGATTCTATATACAAACAAAAAAGATAAAATTAAAAAAGTTCTTTTCAAGTAATACTATAATCGAATAAATATTTTTTTTAAGAAAAATTTAATATATTATCTCCATTCTGATACTATAATTATAAGATTTAATTAAAAAATAATAATTTTCTAAATATTATTTTTTTATAAGATAATAGTAAAAAGGCTGTGGATCTTTTATAATTATATTATAAAGAATCTAATTAAGAGATTTATTATATTAAGTTCTATATTTTTATATTTTCTATTTTAATAGTCTGAAAACTTAAAAGAGATCTCTATTTTTATATAAATTATTAAAAATTAAATACTTTAATTAAAAAGGACCTATATTCGCTACTTTTTATTAATAAAATAATAGAATATCTATATAATACTAAGATTCTTATTAAATTAGGTATAGGGTTTTTACTGGATCTAAATAAATTCTATTTTAAAAATCTTATAATCTTTAAAATATAATATAATTTATTTAAATATTAAATTTTTTTATTTCAATTTATTAATAGATCCACTACCTTCTAACAATTTATTAATAAGATTTTAATAGAGTACTTAGATAAGTTTATTATAATTTATATTAATAATATATTAATTTATAATAATAATATAATTAAATATAAGTTACATATATATTTAATATTTAAAAAATTATAAATCACAGGCTTATAAGCTATTATTTATAAATATAAGATTTATATTATAAAAACTATGTTTCTTGGATTTATTATTGCTATTAATGGTATCTAGATAAATTTAATAAAGTTTATAATTATTATTAAATAAAAAACTTTCATAATTATATAAAAAATTTAATTATTTTTAGATTTTTATAATTTTTACTAAAGATTTATTAAAACTTATAATAAAATAATATAATCTCTGATATAATTGACCTGAAAAAATATTATTTTTAATTAGAATTATATCTATACTAAAGTTTTTAAGATATTTAAGAAAATATTAATCTTAGTTTTTATTTTTATTTATCATAATTCTATACTTCTTACTTATATTGAAATAGATGTTATTAATAAAATTATTATAAAAATATTCTTATAATTTATAAATAAAATTTAATATTTAATAGATTATTACTCTGACTATATTTTCTGTAGAATTTAATTATAATATTTATAATAAAAAATTATTAGTAATACTTTATATCTTAGAAAAACAATAATTAATCTTAAAAAAATTCCAATATATAGATTATTTTAGTATTCTAATTAATTATTAAGTCTTAAAATATTGTATAATTACTAAGAGATTAAATATCTATTAGATATAGTAAATTAAATTCTTTTTAATATTACTCTCTAATTTAATTCTATCCTAGAAAGTATAATATCTTAAAGATATATTAATTTATAAAAATAATAATAAATCCTGGTATAATATTATAAATAAATCTTATTACTTTTAAAATATTTAAAGAATTAAGTATATTCTTTTTTAATAATTTTTAAATTACTGATAGTTCTTACCCCCTTAGAGAAATACTTATAGATTATAAATTATTTTTTAATAATTAAGACTATATCTTTCTAAAACTTTATTAAAAATAAGTTTATTATAATAAAAAAATATATTTTAAAAAATAAACTATTTTTTAATAATTTATTAATAGTTTTAAATAATAAAGACCTACGTATCTAAACTGTTAAATAAAACTTATTATTAATTATTATTTATTTAACTAAGTTAAATAAAGATATTAAATCTTATAAAATACTAATATTACTAGGATACCTAGAACTGAGATATATATTTTTATTTAAATAATTATTTAATTAATAAGTAAAAAAAATATAAAAAAAGTTTTTTTTTAGTATTTTTATAATTTTTACTAATATTGGACTGTCTAGAATAGTATTTATTAATAAATTTTTAAATATTTTTAAAGGACTATTATAGTTTTGCTACTATATTTATCATAATAAATTAATTAATTAAATAAATTATTTTAATACTATATATAAAGATTATATTTATATAAAATATAGTCTAGTTGTTTCTAGAGTACGTATATCCTTAAATAAAAATTTTAAATATAATTATATTAGATTAAAAAAATAATCTATATTAAAATTCTAGGATAAGCTATATTATATATTATAAATAAAATTTAAAATTTTAATAATATATTACTTTTAAATTATTAAATAAATTAAAATTATTAACCAGTATATAGCAGAAAGGCTTATTCTTTTTATAAATTATTATTAAAATAGTTAATTACAATTTTTATTATTAATTAGTTTTATTTTTATAGCCCTATCCTAGGAATCTATAGAATTATTATTTTTTATAATTAAATAAGAATATAAATCTTATATTTTTTTAAATTAGATATCTTTCTAAATCTTTATTATTAATATTCTTAATATAGTAAGCCTGAGCTCTAGCCTGCTATATAAAATAAATATAAAAATTAATAAAAAAAATATATAAATTATTTAATAAGTTTAGACTTGTATAACTAATTAATTTAATTAATTTATAAATTTTAATATTAAAGATAAGATTTATATAAATACTAGAAACTAGTATTAGGATTAATTATTTTAAAAAATATTAAAAAACTAGTATAATTTAGTAATTATTATTAAGAAAATTAATTATATATTCTAAGTTTAATTAGTTAATAATATAAAGATCTATCTTATTTTTTATATTAATAAATTTTATTTTTATAATACTTTAGAACTGCTGCCTGGATAATCTTAAACTAAATTTTTTTAATTAAAATTAATAACTATATTAAATAAGCGTTTAAATAGATCTTAGAAAATTATCTATAAATAAAGACTTTATAGTATTATATTAAATAAATAGAAATTAATAAAAATAATTATATATAGTATTCTACTAATTATTTTAAGAATATATTTTTTATTTATATAATTTTTATATTTATTACCTAAAACGCCCTAGACTATCTAAGTAACTTTCTATATAGATTATTATAGTAGAGAATAATAAATTTACTATAGATTATAAAAATAATAATATTTCTAAAATTAAGGGTAATCAGGCCTAAATAAAAAGATAATATAATAATAATTCTGTTTAAAAATATATAACTATATTTATTTTATTTATTTTATTTATTTTATTTATTTTATTTATTTTATTTATTTTATTTATTTTATTTATTTTATTTATTTTATTTATTTTATTT